AACTACTACAAAACTCAGCGATGGAGGTATGTGACTGGCATGTGTTTATCATCCACGGGGGTGGGAACTCCAAGAAAGATGATCCAAGTATTCTCAGGTACCCACCAGTAACTGGCAAATGCCTACATCTACCTCAGGTTTTACGATACACTATTTAAATTTGATCAAGTATTTTCAACAGACATAAAGCGCCCAGAAATATAATAAATGTCATTAATACCACATTGAACAAAATATTTCGTTAACCCGAGAAAAGCGTGCTGCACCATAATTACTAATTCCATACATGGATGGCAACAAAGTTCACAATGCATGAATGCGCAGAATCGGAGAGATTCAAAGAACAATTCAGTTAAACTCACCTAGGACTCTCTCGTCTAATGGAACCAAGCACTGTTACTCAAATAAACAGCAACCCCGCTTGAGAAACTGATGACAAAAATGAATGTTAGAGGCATCAGGGTCTAATAATCAGTGTGCTGCTTATTTAGTACAAAGTTCTAGTAAGAGGACTTTACCTTTGAACAGATGTTTCCTTTGAAACATCTTACATGTTTTACTTTGAAACATCTTACAATTGCCCAAGGACTTCATGGTTAGATTTATTCTTGTTTTATGCAGATAAAGCGAAGCTCATGGAAGTTAAGTGACATGGGAAGGTCATATAACTAAGATAAGCACATCTAAAGCTCACAGCCAGGCCACCTTTTATTTCCCCAAATTTTCCTCAGGCCTTGCCCTCTTGAAGCAGCCGAACTACGCTGAGCATACAATGTCATGGAAGCGTTAGTTATTACAAAAGTATGTAATATGATTATGCTGACTGGATCAAATGTGCATTAATAATACTTAAAATGGTAATTAAGTTTGGGACAAACCTCAATAATGGTAATTCAATTTAGAAGAAAAAACTCCCAAGAGCATCATGCCCAAAGGAATCTTTTCCAAATGTAAAACTCTATAATCTTTTCCCAAAGAAATGCAAAGTGATCAATAAAAGGCTTGCCAGCATGAAATTTATTTATGAAGATCAAATTATGTGTAGAAACTAAAATGGAATTTTTGACTCAGAAGTTGTATTCTAAAGTGAGTTGTATGACATATCAAATTGCTGTATTTTTTTATTGCATCAGATCTACTTAAGGCTGATGTAAAGGCTTTATTTGAAATGTCAACAATGTCAAGGAGAATTAAAAATGTGAGGAACACTCATGGTAGATTCATAAAGACTGGATGAAATGCACAGGTGGTCCCTCACGGGAAGAAAGCAACCGGGAAAACTCCTTCTAGAACAGCAGAAATTTAAAAAGTACAGACAGCATTCCATACTACAGAACATGGCAAGTGGAGTCATAAATTGAATAAACCAACTTATATCACATTGCCATTTTTTTCGTTTTAAAAGAGCTAAAGTGAATGACTGACTAACGCAGTAAGTGTCTGGAAGGGTGTTAGCATAAATGCACAGATTAAATGAAAGCACAAATATACATACGTTGTGGCAACAGCGGCAGCCTCTGACGGGTTACAGTGTGGTTCTGTTTTGTGCTGTGCTGGAGACGAAATGCAGGGCCTTAACCGTACTAAAGTACTCTGCCCACTGATACACACACCCAGCTCACTGTGTTTATGTCTCCTGACTTTACACGGACAGTGTGTTAGCTTGAGGATGACACACCACTACAATAAAAGGCTTGGTCCGTAACGGGGAGCTACTACTGCCTGGAGGTACAAACCTTTAAGAGCTTAGGCTCTCATACAGGAGACGGAAGGACCCTAGTCTCTCTTTGTGCCCCTGTGGAGATAAAGTTGCTTGCTCCTGCATGGGGTCTTGCCACGAAGGGGTCATTATCCTCAAATTGACGGATGCTAAGTCCATCCTACACTACCCGTTCTTGGGCTTTGATGCCCCCACACTGAAAGCTACGTAAACTATCTTTATAACTCGTTTGCGACGGGTACTTCATTAGTGACAAAAAGCTAACATGGCATACGTTATAAAATATATTTTAAACTCCTTAAAAAAAATTTTGTGGGCTTGTTGATGTTGTTTGCTTGTTTGTTTTTTGAGACAGGACCTCATCCTGTAGCCTTAACTAGCCTGAAACTCGCTTGCTACATATACTTTCACCTTCAAGCTCTCCTTAAAATTAAATAAGCAATTGTCTTACTTTACTGATAAAAAATATCATCAATTAAAATATTGTATCTAGGGCAGGGAAAACATCTCTGTGGGTTGAGGTTTCTACCACCAAGTCGACCACCTGAGTTCAATGCCAGGGCCTACATGCAGGGAGTCCTGTAACTCTCATGCCTGTGTTGCGGTATATACGCATCAACACATATACATACATACATACATACATACATACATACATACAAAGAGAAATTATAATTTTTAAACTATAACCAGATTATAGGAAGGGCCTCCTTTGTAAATAAGAAAAATGCTTTAGAGATATGCCAACACAGTATATGAAAAGCCCTACACAGGAAATGCCCCTGAAACACTAGTACCCATGAAAATGGCTAAGAGTTAGTGTAGTGACATAGTCCTTCTGTAGCACTGACCACGCCCATTGGGGGGTGGAGCGATGGGCGGAGAGGACCTGAGGAAGGAGGTCGGAGGGGGCCAGGAAGGAGCTCTCTCTTTCTGGCGTGACTCGGACAGGAGAGGATCGGGTTGAATTTCCTGGTGTTCATCTGTCTAGGTTGTAAGTTATTTCTCCCTGAATAAACATCTATTCGGCCTATTTGTTTATCCTGATCCTTATTTACCACAATAAGTTAGAGTTTCTGAGTGATGAATGCAGCATCAGCTAAGGAAGGCACACTGGAGTGCCTCCAACACTTCTTAAATTACTCTAAAGTTCTAAGCGCTGCACTGGTCTCATAGTAACTGCTCAGTTTTACTACATCTTACTCAGATCTAAGGTCAACAGAAACACGCCTGGAACCTTGTTCCACAGCCAAAGCTACAGACGAGACAGGGATCCACTGAGGAAGACGTTCTGAGAGCCACCACAGGAGCAGAGGGTTCTTCTGCCTCTGAGGTGTTGTCCTTGACATGGGACACCACAGTATTACAAACCTTGCTCCAGTGTAAACTTAGAAACGTTAGAAGCAACGCTGCACTCCTTGGACAGTCCTGTTTCCGCCACGGCACTGACCCTGAGCTCCTCCTGATACTGTTTATCTCAGAATCTGCTACTCAACCAGCTAGCACCCAGCTACTGAGTCTAAGTGCTTCACACCCATTAACCGCTAGTCCCAGGAGCCTCGCCATGTCTCTCTGCTCTGCAGATGAGAACCACTGAGCAGCAAGACTAAAATCCCAATCTAGAGATTCTGATGCTCCAACAACGCCACCTTCCAGCACTGGCTCCTCTGCACTTCCATAAAACGTTAGCAGTCTTTGGACAGCAACACCCTTGCATCTTAGTTAAGACACACAGCAGGCCCACCAGGACCAAACGCTTACTTTCGGAAATGCTGTTGGTTCTGCGGTCATTCGAGGACTGAGAGCTGTGAGATTTAATTTGCAAGGTGCTGTGATGCTTGGTGTCTGGGAAACTGTCGATAGTAATAGACAGGAAACATTATAATCAAGTTTAGAAAGAGAAAAAATGAGTTTTCTCATTCTTGCATCAGTGATGCACACTAGAGGGTACACAAAGCTGGTTTCACTGTGGCACACAGACTAGGGGAACGGTAGCCCTCTCAGTATGTACAGGAAAGACTCCTGCATGTCCACGCAATTTGGAGACTCACATAGCCCTGTGTCTATTACAAACCATCTCAGCCCTCAAGGGGTGCAAGCCTGTACATGAAGAGCTGAGCACAGAGAATGACTAAGACTAAGGAGTCCATGTCACCTACTGTTAGTACCCTGCCCTTCGGGTCGCCCAGGATGCACTGGTGATAAACACAAATCAAATTCAAACCTCAGAACAAGACCCCTGGATTCACACGCTTATAAGAACTAAAGGCGGGTACCAGAGATGACGCTTCTTCCGAAACGGATGATGAACCCCAAAACTCCACACAGTGTGAACACAATAAACAGTAACTGGTAAAGAGGGGGCTGAGCAGGGAGAACCGAATTCAGCCTCAGAACCCACATACAAATACATGGTGTAGTAGTTAGCACTTAACGCTAGCTCCAGGGACACTTGGGAACCCTATCCAATTGGCCAGCCGGCCAGCCTAGCCTAATCAGTGATTTCCAGGCCAGTGAGTGAGAGATCTAAAAACAAAGTAGATGGCACTCAAGGCTGACCTCTGCCCTCCGGCTACCTACACACAGGCACGCACGCACATACAAAAAACTAAACACATCTAGCCTCACAATGTATCAGGGCAGGGCAGTCAATTTACGTTAAGGAAAAGTGCTACTAATAAAACTCGTTCCACATATGTGGAGGGCAATAATTTCAAAGTTTGAAAAATAAAAGTCCTTGAAGGCTAGGAATGTAGTTTACTGATTAAAGTTATTTGTCTAGCGTGCTTAAGGCTCTGGGTTCGATCCCCAGCACACACCAAAAAGAAATATATACATATATATATATATTCCTTAGTGTTAAACTTTCCAGACTTTTGTATAACCATTTACTAACCTTGTACTAAGTTCAGGTACTTTGTGTGTGGGGGGGCGGGGGGGGATTAGAAATGCGTCCCTGACAGGCAGTTAGTGTCCCCAGTGTTGGAGAACACTGTGCTGTGGGAGTCGTGTTCTGTGTCTTAAATGCTTATTAACTAACTCTTGGAGCTCCAGGAAGAGAGCACAAACTGCTCCCAACCCACTCAAGTCCTCTACAGGGCAAAGAGCGGCATTTATGTCCACTTTGCAAGCAGGGAAACCGGGGCACAAGTGTGTTCGTGTGACCTGGACGGAGGGTGGGGACGGACGGGGCGGAGAGCGGACAGCTGCAGCCGGCGGGATGCGGACGCTGGCCCTATCCTCCGCGGGCCTCGCGCACGGTAAGCGGCACAGTACCCACCCGTGGGTAGCAGGGGCTCCAGCGGGGTAAAGGCATGCTCCATGGCGGGTTATGGGCTCTGCGTGGGGAAAAGAAAAACACAAGAAGCCGCAGGTTAAACTTCCCCGCACCTAGCTCTGCAAAAGGGCCCAGCACGCAGCGGGCTCGCACTCTGACCCGGGCACTGCGGGAGGCCGGGAAGCTGCACTGCGGGCGGGCGGGCGCGGCGGGAGGGAGCGGCGGGAAGCGCCCGCCGAGCCCACTCGGCCGTGCACGCGCGCGGGCTACCGTCCGGGCGTGCACTGGCGGCGAGGGGCGGCCTCCCTGTGCCCTCCTTCCCTCCCTCCCTGCTTCCCTCCCTCCCTGCCTCCCTCCCGCGCCCGCAGCCGCGCACTTACACGACGGCGGGTGGAGCCTGGAGCGACGCGAGCGAGCAGGCTGCCGGAGCGAAGAATCCGCCGCTCGGCGCTCGGCTGCGGGGCCTGCGGGAGGAGGAGGAGGAGTCGTGCGGGAAGCCCCGCCCCTTCCGGGGGAACCCTGGCGTGGTGCAGGTTGGAGGGTGCCGGGTGCAGGGTGCAAAATGGAGGGTGCAGGGCGCCGGGTGCAGTGTGCCGGGTGCAGATTGGAGTGCTCTGGGTGGAGGGTGCAGGGTGCAGGGTGCAGATTGGATGGCACAGGCTGCCCTGGCTCCCCACCCAACAGAGCTGCCATCCTCCAAATGCCACACCCTGTCCTCCAGGCCGGCTTTGCCTTCCATGCGGAGGCAAAGTCTGAAAGCACTGCAATGGAAACCTGTTAAATTGAGTAAAATGAGTCACCCCTTTGTAAACATGCAGCTCCCCCTCCTCACCCCCCCACCCCCGCCACTTTCTTTCCCAGTATAAGCAAAGCCAAGGGGCCACAGTCTCTGCCACCACCACTCCTAGGCCATCAGCACACTGATCCTGGGGCAGGGTCGTCTCCACAAGAGTTAACTGGGAGTGACAAGCCCCAGTATGACTTTACACGCACACACACACACACACACACACACACACACACACACACACCACACTACACCACACCAAAAGCACACGTTTTAAGATGCCCTTAAGATTACTAAAATGCAAACTGGACATGGCAGAGGATATGCTTACATGTAACACGAGATTACTACAGCACAAAAGGAACTTAAGCCCAGCAGTCAGAGGCAAAAACCAGCGAAATGCTAACCCAGATGTATCATCGATGATGTTCCTGTAGCAAAAATATAAAAGTAAGAGGACAAACTTAACAGGTGAAATTTGTCTGTCAGCTTATAAGGGGCATTACTAACAATTTACAATCATTAAGCAGTAGTATAGTAACCTTCCCGTTACTGTAGAGGGCCTTTTGTGTTTTGTTTAGATACTATAAAGTGGTTGCTGTAAAAGAATAAGAAAGAATTAAAATGCTGGCCTTTGTTGACTCCTGAATCTTCATAGTCTAAACCAACTGCTAGTAAAGGACACTCAGTAGTTGTTGGATATTCACACATACTGGAGATTTTTCAGTACTTTTGAATGCCACCTCTCTACTTAGAACTGGCTCATCGATCTATCCTCAAAACAAACCCCACCCCCTTAAATTTAATCAACTACAACTGATTCCAGCATTTAGTTATAATCATTGTCTGTAGCTATTTCATCCTGTCTACGTTCTCTATCTAAGTGGTCTACACAAACAAACACACACGGATGTACGTGTGTGTGTGAAATGAATTCACAGTAAAAGGAAAATGAAAATTGTAGTGTATTATATCAGATATTCTTGAAACAGCAACCCAAACCCATAGTCCCTCATGAAATAATGCCAGTAACAATATATTCCATTGGTCAATGACACTGTGGTGGTTTAGATGAGAAATGCCCCCCATCATCTTTGAACACTTAGTTCCCCACCCTGTTGCTGACGCTGGGAAGGTTTAGGAACTACACTCTGGCTGGAAGAAGTCAGTCATTGGGTCTGGGCTTTGCAGTTTGCTCTCTGCATCGTGCTGGTAGATGTGACCTCACTGCTTCCTGCTTCTACCATCGTGCCTGATTGCCTCCTTGTCATAATGGACTCCTATCCCACTGGAACTGTAAGCCAAAATAAAACTGTTTATTCCTTAATTTGCCCGTGTCGTGGAATTTTATCACAGCAACAGAAAAGTAACTAAGTAGATGTTCTATGTAAAAAAAACAGATGGATAGGTACAAGTCAATAGGTTGAAGGAAATATGTAATTGTTTTTCCTCAAATACTAGGTACTATATAACATTTTAAATACCTTTAAAATTTTAGTTGACACAATAAGTTCATCTATTTATACGACAATATGGCGTGATAATTTGTGTACCTGATATATAATAATCATGTCAGAGGAACTGGTATATGTTTGTTTTTGTTTTAAAAAACCAGCTCCATGTATACCAAGCTAGTCTCAAAGTCACTGTGTTGCTGAAGATGATTTCATACAGCTGATTCTCCTGTTTCTTCCTCCTAAGCGCTGGAATTCAGTCATAGCTATCAAGTTACATGGTTCTGGGTAAACAGCTAGGAAAACACCGTGCTAATCCCCAGTCAGATAATAGGTATATCTTAACTCTAACATCACTTCTTTGTAGTTCAAATATTCAAAATACACCCCCAAGCTCTGGCAACCACGATTCAATCCTCTTCTTTTAAAATATTAACGTTTTAGCTTCTAGACAACAGTAAGAACATATGCTGTCTTTTTTCCCCAATTTACTTCCCTTGATGGACATAATGTCTTCCAGTACCATCCGTGTTCCTGTAAATGCCATTATTTCGTTATTTTTATAACTGAAGGATATTTAACTGTTTCTAGGACATTTTTATGCATTCACCTATCGCAATATCTTTGCAATTATGAATACTGGTTCAATAAGCAGGAGCGTGCACAGTGTTTGACAGAGCATCTCCAGTCCACTGATGGGACTGCCGGATCATACGAGGGTTTCTCTTCAGTGTAAGGAAACTATGTTGTGTTTTTCACGGGTCCATGCTAACTTGAATTCCCATCAACCTCTTCTCTATCTCCTCCATCTCCATGTTCTCATATCCTGCTGTGCTTTTATTTCATCTCCCTGAAGATTTATGGTTTTGGGCGTCTATTATGCTTTTTTGGGCAGTTTATACAACCTTCCTTGGGACATAGCTATTGAAGTCATTGTTCCATTTTTAATTTGCATTGTGTGTTGGCATGGTTGTTTCAAAAACTGACTTGAGCCGCGTATACATTCTAAAAATTACTCCCTTATACAACAAATGGTCTAACATCCTATCTGCGGTTCTGTGGCTGTCATTTTATGATGTTGATTTTTTTTTCTTTTGCCATATCAAAACATGCTTAGCACAGTAAAGACTCAACATTCACTTTTGCCTTGGTTACTTATGCTTTCTGGGTCATCAACTCCCCCTCAAAACAAACAACCAACCAAAAAACCATTGTCTGAATGTTTTCCGTATGTTGTCTTCGGGGATTTTCATGTCTGGCGTTTAATTCTTGATCCATTCCCGTTGACTTTTATACTCAGTAGAAGATAGGTGTCTAGTTTCTTTCCTTTGCATATAGATACCCAGTGTTTTCATAAAAGGATAGTACTTTTTCCAGGGTGTGATTTTACTGCTTTTAGTGACATCAACTGGCTATAAAAACATGATTTAAACTCTGGGTTCTGTTTTCAACTAGTTTGTGAGTCCGATTTTAAGTGGCTGGGGCTTTTTAGCTTAGTTTACTTTTGTTTGTTTGGTTTTGTTTGTTTTTTATTTTGATTTAGGTTTTTGTTTGTTTGTTTGTTTGCTTGCTTGCTTGCTTGCTTGGTTTGATGGTTTGGTTTTTTAAAACAGCGTTTCTCTGTGTAATGTGGCTGTCCTGGAATTCACTTCGTAGACTAGGCTACCCTTGAACTCACAATGATACACCTGCCTCTGGCTCCCAAGGGCCTGCACTACCACTGGCTTTGTTTAGTTGTTGTTTTGATTGATGCCACTTTCTAGTATGTTTTGGAAAAAGATATGTGATACCTTCAGCTTGGTTCAGAATACTTCAGCTATTTGGGATCTTTTGTGGTTCAAAAATGTTTCTTTCTGTGAAAAATACTGGTATTTTGGCAGAGTCCATCAAATACCCAGATAAACTGAGGTAGTGTGTGGGGGGGGGGGCGTGGAAATAAAGAGAGGATTGGTCTGGCCTTAGGAGGGACTGTGCTTATTCTTGGCAAGGGGTCACCTTTGACATCCACATGTGCAAAGGGCCGAAATGTCAACAGAAGAAGATGGGATATGGCTCTTTACAGAGGTGGGAATGACTTCCATAGTCCACAGGATCCTGAAAAGTGGAGGCTGTCAAGGGGAAGCTGTCATTCAGAGCTCTGGGAGACTGTAAATTAGGCAAGGCAGGAGTGTTACAACTTTTTTGCTGAGGTGGGGTGTTTGTTGGATGATCCTTTAGCTTGGGGTTGGGGAGGCGTCTTAACTTCATGGGCTAAAATGGATCAGGCAATCAATCCATCCTGTATTCCCGAAGGGACTTGGAAAACAATTATTAGATGGTTGTAAGCAGGTGGCTCGTTTACAGGGTAAAAGTGCGAGATTTTCCTGGGAAGGCTGAAGGATAGGAAGGGACAAAGGCTGGGTGGGGGAGGGGGACAGAGTGGGATGGTGAGAGGAAGTGGGTGTAGAGTTGACTCAGGGCGACAGGGACTGAGATCCCTTTGCACCAAAAAGTACTAGCAGACTTAGCAGGGAACAACAGGGCATCAAAGGAGGGCACAGGACAAAATTCAAAACTAATGTAAAGAATTGCGTCTGGCCAGGGGTAAAGAGGTTGACGGTCCCTTTCAGGAAGAGCTTTTCCGTTGCATCTAAAAGGTCTTTCTGCAGATGTATCGGGAACAAATGGGGTTATCATAGCGTGAGAGCTGGTGGGAGAGCTTGCTTGGGATGTTTTGTTTGGGCATAGAGGGAAATTCTGCAAATGAAGCCTTTAAAGGACAGGTTAAACTCAAATGGCTGAAAGACCTTATGGAATTGCTCCACATCCTTA